GTCGGCAAATCATATTATAAAAAACCAACCAAAAGGCCAGGAGAGAACTGTTAACCGGATCCACATCCGGACAAATATGTGTTGTGGAGATACAAAGAAATACACGGCACGCAGGCCGGAAGTATAGGCAGCAACCATAAGCTGAAACTACTGAGTCGGAGGAGTATCCTTAGCAAGCGGAGTTGGGGCAGAGTTCACGTGGGCTTGGTGCTCTCCTTCCTTTTCCTCCTCTGCGTCATCGTCACCATCAGCTGCTTCCTCATCCTCCTCTGCAAGCTCCTTCTGGACCCACTCTTGGAAGGGCTCAGGCTCCGGCTGACCCTCATCCTTAGCTAGGATGGAAAGACCTGCGTATTTGTAGGCCAGCTCCTAGACGTTATAATCCGCCTCAGGATACACAAGCGACCAAGCCATTCTCATCCAGTCATCGCAATCTTGCTCATTCTCCTCAATGAGCCGACTCTGCTCAGCCTCTAATGTGGCCTTGAAGTTGTCCTTGGAGGCGACCATTTCTTTCTGCAGATGTTCGACATCTGCTTTTAGAGTGGCGTTCTCCTTCCTGGGCTTCTCCAAGGACTTGAGACTCGTCTGAGCATTTTTTAGCTCCATCTCAGCATTGTCGCGCTCCGCCTCTAGATTTGAGGCCTTCAGATTAGCTTCATTGAGGGCAGCCTGGAGCTGTTTGATGGAGTCCGCCTGCGATAGGAGCTGAGCTTTAGTTTCAAGATCATGAATTAGCATTTGATACTGAGCAACGTCACGTGGTATCAGACGCATCTCTCTTGGCCCGCCTTACCTCTTCTTTCTTCCGGGCATACGGCTTTTTTAGCCCCTCTACTCGCAGCATCGGTTGTATAAGTGCAAACGGTGTTAGAAAAGCAGCCGGCAATACACTTGAAAGAAAGAAAATAAAACTATTGTACCTCAGACAACATAGCAAGGATACGGTCAACATTGAATGTATGAGTCTCGGGGATGGCCTCCTTGTCCTCCTTGGAGACAGCCTTCAGCATGGCCTTGGAGTACTGCTGTACATCCGGCCAGTGAGGGGATTGATCTGCACCAGAAGTTAGATATGGTGAGAAAGCTACATATGCGCCACCAACAGATCACCGGCTACCCGAAGATCCTTCTGATTGAAGTTGGGAATGTGACTTGACCCGCATGGGCCAACCCAACTACAAGGGAGAGTTGAAGGGGTCAACAGTACCTTGGGGATAAGGCTGAGGGTTTGCCTCCCCTACAGCCGCTGCGGAACCACTTGTAGCTTTGGGTGGCTGGCCACCCTTCGGTACCTCAAAGGCACCCAGCTGGAAAGAAAGCTCAATCCCCAGATTGACATATCTGATACTCTTTCCCCTAACGGTCAGACAGCTTTTGTCAAGCAAAACCCTGGAAGTCGTTTGAGCAGACGTTGTTTTTCTGGATTTGTTGGAACTGGTGACCTCGTCACCCGGCCTTTGTCTGATCAACTTGGAAAGGGATCTAGGAGCTCCCTTGCTTCCATTCTGAAAAACGAACCAAATGTTAAGCACACAGTTGAAACCAGACATTAATTATACAGCCGGATCATAACCGCCTATATACATTAATAAGGCAAATGGGGAAGAAGTTGGAGTAGACGGTTTATACCTGGCCTTTAGCCGCCAGTGCTGTAGAATGAGCAGGCGTTCCGTTTTTAGGGGGAGCATCCTTCTGGCGTTTTCTGCAAAAAAAGAATCGCCTATTAGACCATCAATAAAACAAAAATAAATCACAAGTTATAAACACTAAAGACGGCATAACATTGTCGGATGCATGCTATACATACGTCTGTCAAACATGGTGCTTAAACCACAGGCGGACAAGAACCCCTCGTCCTTCAAAAACTCGTGTTTGGGTACCCAGTTTTTGGGCACACTAATCAAATCCCCAGATGAGAGAGTGGTGGTTGTGAGTTAAAATAACCCCGCTTCTATTATTTTTTCATAGTCCTCATCCGGGACTTGTGGAAATTTACACTTTTGTCCCAACAGATTCGGCTTCTTATTATAACAGCGGTATTCAAAGTTCTCTTGCCGTTTGGGGGCAGAAACCAAATAGAATCGGTTCTTCCAGTCAGACCATTTAGACGGTTTGTCTAGGGTCATCAAATTCTTGGGGTAGGGGGTAAATGTGTACCACACCCTCCAGCTGCCTGGGCTACGGCTCAGATAATGCATATGGGCAAAGGCCTCCCAACCGGGATGGAGACCCTGCATCTCGCAGGCGGCGATGTAGCCTAGAATGTTAACCCAAGAATTTGGGGTTAACTGCCACACGCCAAGGCTATATCCTCGCAGGATAGCCTTGATTGCGTCATGGAGGGGTAAGCAGAGACCGACTAGGAAGGCCGCCTCATAGCAGCCAAAATAAAGGTTGGCATTTAGCTTGTCATCTTTCGAGGCAATGGTCCCCAATTCAGGCGGCACCCGGATGGTATATCCTTCGCCAAGAGGACGCTTGGATTTGAAAGCTTCCAGGTGCTTTTCCATGTTCGCCTTGTCTCTGGCAGAGACATGGATCCGGAAGGGATCCCCCTCACTATTCCATTTTAATATTTCCTCCTCCTCATTATCCTCAACTGGCTGCTCTCTTCAGACCTAGACCTAGAGGCGGTCTCACCCCCGTCTCTTTTAGGAACAGCTTCACCCGCCTCCTCAGAGCCAGACACAGAGGCAGCTTCTTCACCATCACCGCCCTCAGACCTATGGATCCCGTCACTGGGAGTGCTGGGTGCACCCGGAGGGGATCCTCTTGTCTCTTCAGCCTGTTCTATCTTTGGCGGCGCACTGTCTGTGCTCTCTTCCCTATACTCCGGATCTACAGCCGTCCATCTAGTCCGAGCCATAGTGTCCTGCACAGACACGGAGACGGTAGGATTGGGAGATGAACAAGAGTGATCCAAGCACCCCTAGGCGGCACCTCTAGTCCTAGACTCAGCCATACCAGGGGACCGATTGCCTGCTAAACTAGGTTGTGCCGTGTGTGCTGTTGGTGAATCCACTTATGGAACAAAATGTACGCAAACGGAAAAATTATGAAAGAGCTGAAAAGAGGAGAGATGGTACCTCTAAGAAGAGCAAAAATACAGTCAAGCGTTGACCAGCTGTAGCTAGCAGGCAGAAATCAAGAAATTGCTTGCAAGACGCACATGCGATTAACCGGATGTACCCCCTTGAAAAAGAGAATTGCTTGAAGAGTATCCAGGCGGTTCTCAGAAGTTCTTCTATCTGCTAAAAGCACAGACGTTATACCGTCTGTAACCCCTTGGAAAGTGAGAATTGTCTGAAAGATACTCAGACGGTTCAGATGGTCCCTCGTTTGTGAAATGAACAGACAGTGGACGGTTGTATCTAATGGAAAAAAGAAGGCAATCGCTTGATGAATACACAGGTGGTTGTCAGAGTTTATCTCTCTAAAAACAGCTGACTCTCTCTCTAATTTCTTGGAAATGTCCAAAAATGGGAAGGGTAAAAAGTTATTTAAGGAAGGGTAATTCAAGGGGCATCCCCGTGATTTTCCTGGAGGACAAACGGTTAAAACTGTTCACCAATGACCGAGTGACAAGTGACACAGGTGCCATGTGGCACGCCATGTCACACTTGTGAGGGGAAAATATTTTGGGTAAAAATACCCAAGGCCACACGTGGATCTATCTGATGGTGACACGTGTCACCTTACGAGAGATTCAAAAGAACCAATCCTCTCTTGACACGTGGCACACCCAGTCATCGGGAAAAAGGCAGTCTTCCTTGTCCAATTCCCGAGAAAGCCCACCATTCCTAGGTTTCTGTAACCTAGGATGGCGGCACGCATCCCGAGACCCTATAAATAGTGAGATGTTCACAAAAACAGAGCAATCATTAATTGCAGATATTTACTCCTGATCTTGAAATCCGAGAAGATACTTTACTTTCTGCACTTTTTACACCATCCGAACACGTTCTAACTTGATCATCGGAGGCGGAACTCCACCCAACCGGAGTCTCCGTTGTTTTGCAGGTATTGGCGCTCGGAATCCAGTTTTGGTATTGTAACTCTCCCGAGGGACACAGAAAACCCCGAAACAATAGATAAATACTACCATTAACTAGTTTGATGGTACAACTAGTTTTCTAATAATACAAATATATATATAAATGATACATCAAATATTACACCATTGTGAGATATAATAGTATCACTTAGTCAATATATATTCTAATGGTATTATATACGTGCATAGTACGAGTAGTACACAAAAATAACTATTGCTATAAACATCACATTACTATATTACCCTTCTATGTGTTTCTAAAACACACAGTGAAAGAGTAGTAGTGTCATTCGAATAAGTATATTATTGTAATAGATGATTCAGATTAATTACAGAATTAATTATTCAGTGAAGTCAGTTGATTGAAATACTTAGCTGGATGCCAACTTCGATCAGTGAGAGTAATATATTTATTCCCACATCTTGCTCTTAACTAAACTTTATTGAGTCACATCCTAAGCACAAAATCATTTTGTCAGATTGATAGGGCTGAAAGACCCATATACGTCTATAAATATAGTTTGGATCAATATGTATGCATTTGAGTTTAAACGCGTCAAAACCAAGTGTTGAATGTTAAACCGATCCAAAGAATCGACGAACGAAGGAATAAACATCAAGCAAACGACATCACGAGGCCTTGCGCACCACAAGCGTGAGCACAAGGCCTAGCCACGGCTTGGCAGGCCATTGGCCGTGCGCAAGGCCCAACCAAGGCAATGTTGGCCTAGGGCCAGGCCTCGCTCGCAAGAAAAAGACTGCTAATAAAAATGCATCTTTTTTTTTAGTGTGGTGAACAAAAATATATTCACACGTCTGTTTTATAGTATCCAATCTCCAGAATTGCATCAGAATAAATTGCAATGAATTTTTGTTAACCACAAACATCAATCTCACCAGTCTTCACAGGATGCATCAGGACAACAAAAGAGTCGGTAGAAGATTGATATATAAACATATACTTCATTCTTATGCAAAATATAATTAAACACTTATGGAGTACAAATTCTAAGAGAGTTGTGCTGGTTGTTTTCAGGTGATATCTGAATATACATTTAGATTTAAACCAGCATTAAACATATCCAGGTACACACACAGACAAGATTTTTATTCCAGTGCGGTATATAGCGTGAATCAAAACTAGAAAACCAGAAGTTTTAGTCAACAAGACACCTTGTATCATTGAAATTTTACAACTATGCAAGATATGTCATCTTTGCTTTTCCTAGAAATAGCCGCTTCTGTCAAATGCTTTGCTGCTGATTGAGCATCCTTTATGTGTTTGATTGAATCCACTGCTTCTTGGTTTGACATAACCTGCATGAAAGGGCAAAAAAAGTCATTACATGATTAATATAGAAACTAGTGATTTCCATACCAAATTCAAAGTAATATTCCATCACCTACAAAACTAGACACTCAGCAGAAAATTTTACTATGTTAAGTCTGTTCAGACTTAATAGAAACAGTGACATCTTAATTCTTTTAGTACAGCAAGTTCAGATTGTCATTTCGGTAGCACTACACCCCTTATAAAGCAGTTTTCTCCATATTTTTCCAAATTTATCAGATGTCCCCTAAATGGTCCTAGTACACCTTATGCAATAACAACTCTTATAAATAGTTAAGCCCAAGGGTAACTTGCCATTCTCGACATCACAACTATGTTTTCACTTTGACTACAGAACATTCGTACAGTGTCACGTGGACTATTTATATCACTTGAACTGCCCATGTCGAATCCTCAATAAAATATCATAGGAAATTATGGAAACCTAAAATATGGAATGTACTAAAACAAAGCCAAGATTGACACTTAGGCACGTCCCCTTATTGTACGTTAGTGTGAGTCCTAACTAGCATAGCTTTTAAATATAGATAATTCATGAAAATAACTCTTGAAGATTACATCATCAAATAGAGCTACATCGTGTTATAGTGTCAGTGAGGTGATTTGTCATTTGTGTTTAGGGTGTAAATGAAAATGTTGAAATGTTTTGTTTGAATACTAAAAAGAGTGGTGATTTGCACAAAATTGAAGCTGCAAGTTGTATCAAATGACAACACAGTTCTTCAATAAACAAGTTTCCAAGTGACTAAAATGTGTTGTACATACTTTTGAAGACATATCAATTATTAATAATATAAACACACAAAACCACTCTAATAGCATACTGTAACCAGTAACAAGTGATGTGGAAACAAGGCATTCTATAACAAATGACCCAATGTGATATACACTGCATGCTATAGAGTATAATATAAACAGCTTTTTTTGGAAAACGGCTAGTTGAATAATCTTTAAAATGACCTTTTCAGTAACAAAACTGTTAATATGATTCCACACAATCCTAATGATTCTATATAAAGGAAGGGAGTCAAATGCATGACAATGTAGAGATTGTACACCCATTTCCATTACCCCTGAACTGGAAGGCGTAGACAATAAGCTACTTGCACAATAAATTAGAAGCTGAAGCCTCTTTTCCGCTAAAGATTTTTATCAGATGATTCACTAAAGTGTATACTATCAGTTTTTGTTGCCCACAAATTGGTAACTTATGATTGATGTTAGGTTCAAAGGATTTATGACCAATCCTCACCCCCGAACCCTGATCACAAGTTAAAAGGGTAGCACATAGCTATGATGAAACACTCACCTTCCATAACCCGTCACTTGCCATGATCAGAAACTCTGTTGTATCATCAATCTTTGCCTCTTCTACATGGGGTTCTGAACTAAGATGTATCTTCAAGCTTTTATCTCCAAATGCCCTTGCCACTGCTAGTTGTCCATCAACACGTGGGACATCACCTGCAAACATTAGGGAGCAGTTAAAAATGCGAATTAGAAAATAGTATATTATCTCTTCAAAGTTTTAGAATATGCAAATTCTGAAGCAATTAGATAATCAGAAAAGGTCCATAATTAGCAGTTACACTACATATGCAAAGTAGAAATTTCTCTTCAGAAATTACGCTGATAGATTACGTTGATTCAGTTTATAATGTGAAGTAAATGTTAGATAGATATATCTTTTGTAGATGTGGTAAGACATTACTGAAATGGTTTTATACAAATATGCAGAAGTGCAGGTGGACTACTGAGACAATATAACTGAAGGCATATGTCAAAATATATATCAATTACTGACTTAGACTTAAGACTGATGATATAAAAATACAAACATAACATTATTTATATAGCTACGGAATACTATATAATATGCGTAATTAAAGAAGACTTGCACTTAGTCCCATAGACAAGTATACGTGCATCTACATATGATTACCTGGAATATTTGATACAAAACCACCGCGATTCTCTATTTCTGTCTTTTCTGTACCAGGATCATGATCCACCGACAGTTGTTTGGCCTCTCCATTTCTGCTAATAACAGCACGAGAATCACCCACGTTTGCAACAAATAGTGTTTGACCATTGAGAAGAATAGCTGTAACAGCAGTTGAGCCACCTTTTCCCAGTACAAGTACTTTATCAAGAATCTCTCCATCAGTTTTATCATATGCTTTCCTTATTGCACTCTCCGGTTCACTCCAAAAGCCTGGCTGCACATCACCGGGAAATTTAGACAAGCAATAGTCATATAAGCTGGCCATGAAACGAAAGTACACCCAATAGAATAAATTACAACTGCAAAATTTGCTTTACCTCTTTCAGTATATTTTCAAAGAGATGTGTCTGCAGATAATTTGCAACATCATGACCCATGTGCCCATCAAATATTGCAAACAAACCCACCTCCTTGTCATCTATCTGTTTAAACTGAGAAACTACATAGTCTTCCATGGGATGACTTGCCTTTCCTTTCACAAGATGAAAACCATGAGTAATATGCTTCGAAACTTTTCCTTTTCCCTTGCCAGTGTCTGGTGGTGCTGAACTAAAGCCAGCTTTGACCTGAAATGCAGTGGGAAACAAAAACGAAGTTAGAACATAATTGTGCTAAGAAGAGACAACTAGTGTCAACAAAACTTTGTGCACATTGCAGATGATAACGATTTAAAGAATATTACTACTAAGTTAATGTCTTAATGATATACAAGCCATTTTTGTTACTGTTTAAAGGAAAATTGCATCATTAAGTATGGATAATACTCTGATAACAAACATTTGCCATTTCGATACTAAATGCATGGACAGGGATTTGGGTCACAATAAGGACTACCCTCATTTGTTAACATAGCACAAGAAGTTATTATAACTTAATTCATTACAGTAAAGCCAAGCCAGTGTCATTGGTTGCAACCTTTCGTCTTGTATGAATATAGCAATAAGATTTCTATGAACCAGATGTCAAGTGTAGTAAGCTTTTAGAGAATATGACTTAAAATTCCCTGAACAAGCTTAAGCTTAATGCATCGTTACAGATTCTTTTTCCCTTTTGATCATATTATTAAATTAAATACATTTATGGATATTATTGCTTAAAACATATAGAATCATTCATGACTGATGATCTAACACTCATACAATTTAGAGAGTTCCCAACTTTCCAAATTAAAATAAGACCCACAAGATAATTTCTAAGGATAGAAAAAGACCAAACACAAATTTTAAAATTGGGATAGCACAATAACATTCATGGGACTCAATGCTTCAAGTTTGATGGATCAAAATGGGGCATAACAATTTAGGCAGGGCACACTCTTCAGCGTAAAGAATGATGATGAAGCGTTTTCAGTAAAAACAGAACCCAAGTTCCCAATTAAGGATTGCCCTTTCAGAAGCAAGTCAACCATCTACTTTATCCATTCCAAAGTTAAGATATCAGAACCTTAAAATTGACATACCACTTTTGATGCCAAGATCAAAATTCTGACTATAAGATGAACAGACAGCCAGAAATACGACAAAATAAGAATGGTCTAAGTATGTTTTCTTAGTAAAGACAATGAACATATATAGCAAACATCCACTTGTTATCTCACAGCAGCTAATAGCCATCTATCAAATTTCATTCTATTTCTATTGATATAACGTATTCACCTCATTGGCTAAGACACATATTCATAGAATTATAGTAAAATCTAATTAAGTTCTTGTGAAAAAATATACTCCAAAGATGCAAATTGTCAAAGCTCCAAGGAAACAACCACTAAAGATCTAGGTGAACACGCGAGGGAGATCAAGAGCCCATATGCCTATATTATACATCAGCCGAAACAATGCCAACGCTAAACTTAAGTCTTATACCTCACAATGAGAACGTACAACCGAATGAAGAGACTGATTTGATAAAGACATATTATCAAATAGCTATCACATATTCACAATTTCACATATATGCAAATGGAGGCTAAAGGTCAAATATCTCTTGCCCTCAAGGTAGCAACATCAACAATATTCTATAGTAGATTTCATACTCAAGCATCCTAAAAAGTTTTTTTTAGCCCCAGGAAAATAATTACAAGTCCCGGAGATAAACACTTTTTTTTATTTATCGTTAAAATCAACTTGTATTTTCTCCGAGTCCGGTATTGAAACAGAGAATAAAATTACGCCGGCCAAATTAATAATTAAATAAAAAAATCTAGCCTAACTACAATGTGACACTCCAAAACATTGGTCAATTAAAGTGGCTACTGATTGGTTCTAATTTTTCTATTGCATTAATAGTAAATAAATAAATACTCCACCAAACAAAGGGTAAATACAAGTTTTTCACAATTTGAAACAAAAACTGTTTCTCGCATGGCATTTTCGTATATAAATTAACAACTTTTTCATTAAAATGTGTGAGAAACTGGGGCAAGCCCACAAAACAAACCTAGACCGTAAAACAACAAAAACCTGATTCAGATTTCAACCATAAATAACTGAGGTTCAATGTTAGTAACGTTAATAGTCATTTTTTTTTTTTTTTTTGAAAATTTTCGAATTTCAAATCTTTCAATTCCCAATCACAAAAACTATCGTCTTTGCTTTTGTAGTATGTAACTTTAAGTTCAGTTCTTTTATAAACACGGATTCAAGTTCATAAGATGATGACATTAAAGAGCTACTGAATATCATTTTCCATTATTAGTAACCAAGTATGAAGTTGATCTATCACACACCCACCCACCCACCCCCCCCCCCAAAAAAAAAAAAAAAAAAAAAAAACCACTTTCCATACTCGAAGTAAAAGTTTCTATAAAAGGGTATATACTATTACAAGAATGATAATTTAACTGTAAAATGAAATAAAATGGGTCAATAACTGAATAATCCAATTTACAAATGCTGTTATTATTATTATTATTATTATTATTATTATTATTATTATTATAGCTCATTTTATACCCAAATATCAGAAGATCACTATTGAGCTTGACTAATTTCATCACAAAAAAGAAAAAATAAAATAAATAGATAAAAATTCAGCATGAAGGAAAAAAAAAAAAGAATAGATTTGGAGGGTGAAGCACACCTTCATCTTGTGAAGAATTTCTCTAGCAGCCATGAATATTGGATAGTAGCAAATATTGAGGATTGATAACAAATTAAAAGAAGGGTGAGTAAAATGAACGAGTGGTAGTGAGTACTAAAAAAGTAGTAGTAGCAGGTTGGATGTACGCTAATTTAGAGAAAGAGGGAGGATGGCAAAGAATGGAAAGAGACAGGTGCTGATTAAGGATTGGTTTAGACTGGGATTTATTGTGAAATAATAGACGAATTTTATGACATTTTCAACAAATGAAATTGTGATAGGGCCCCGCTGTTTTCCATTACGCGTTTTAAGGGTCTACTTTGACTCTATCTCAGCAGTCTTGTTTTGTCAACCCCATCTACATCAAGCGCCAGCAGGACAGCCGGCAAGCAATTATCTAATAAGCTGATCCAAGCCAATAACTTGACCCAAACCCAACCAAAAAATAGCGAGTTTAAGTTGAGCTTTGGGATCCAATTTATTAAATACGTCGACACGAACCCAACTTGAAATCAAGTGGCTTATGTTTGGGTTGAAAAATTAAACTGTATAACCCGAAAAATAATTAACGCATTTTTTATGGGTTTTTTCACCATTATTGGTCATAAGATGTTGTGTCAGCAAGTACATTAATCTTAACATGAAAATACAGCAAGTTTTTAATAGATTAATTGTAACTTGACAGATCAAACGGATAGGAAGTATGAAATGTAACCATTTTTGTTTCGGAGTTTTTTGGAATCTCTCGAGATATACAGGTCATGAACACGGCCGGACGGTCTTGGACAACTGCAAAATAATGAATATTCCATTTGACGGAATATTCGCCTCCGACGATCAAGTTAGTGGACCAGAAAACGAAGTAATGTAGAGAGAAAAAGTAGAGAGAAGTTAGAGCTCTTTTCCTTATGCAATAAATGAGATGTCTTAATCCACCCTTCTCATCATAAATGATTGGGGTATTTATAGGGGTGGAAAAGGGTGTCATTTAGGGTTTGATGACCTAGAATGGTGTGATCTGATTGGCGCCGCAATCAGGTGAGGACATGTGTCCTTTGGGGGCGCCGTTTTACGCCATTCTCGGGATTTGGGCCTCCTGATGTAAGGAGGTCTTTTCTCTCATTCAGGTGCTCTTATTTTTGACACATGTCAGCTTCCTATTGTGATACATGTCGCCCATTTATTGGGCCACGTGTCACTGCACGTGTCAGGGGTATTTTTGAAAGGAATGGTGTCCTTCGAACAAGTGTATTATTCCGATAGAGGGTTTGGAATTAATTAGGAAAACTAGTTATTCAGTGAGGTCAAGTGATCGGAATGCCTAGCTGGAGCCGCTTCCGATCAGTAATATTAATGAATAATTAATATTACAGCTTGCTCTTGATTGAATCCTTCAAGTCACTCCCAGTCATGTAATCGAACCAAGGCAACGAATTAATCCGAAGGATTATATAAGTCGAAAGAGAGTTTACGAACTAATAAGACGTCGGGATCCGAGCTTAGAGCGTCAAAGCCGAGCATCAAGCGTCGAGTCAAATTCTAGGAAATTTACCAGACGTATAAATTAGTCAAACAACAATAATCGCACGTAGCCCTAGCTTCGAAATGGCCTAGCCATGCGAGGGCTAGGGCAATGTGGCTAGCAAAGGCTGCTAAGGCGCAAGGTAATGGTTGCTTGCCCAGCAGCAGCATGCGCGTGCTGGCTGGTTAGTCGCGCCATGCCGTGCTAGTTAGCAGTGCTGGCTTGCCAGCAAGTTAGCAGTACTAGCAAGCTCGCTAGGCCTCGCTAACTGCTGCTAGCGCTAGCACGCATATCGCGCACAACAACCCGCAAGTATGTGAGGCTTGCTAGGCATGTGCGCAGCGGCTGGGCCTCGCTGGCTGGCCCATCCGAGCACTAAGGCTGCCAGCGTGGCGCGCCTTGTTGCTCAAGGAAAGGCAAGGTGGTTTGGCTCGGGGAGCAAGGGAAGGGTGGTCCTTCCTGTTTCGGGGGTTTTTGGAGTCCCTCGGGAAAGTTACAATCCCTAGTATGCGCAGCCGACGTACCTGCAAAACAACGAAGACTCCAGTTGGTGGGAGCTCCGCCTCCGACGATCAAGTTAGTATACGTCCGGAGTAGCAAATTGTACGGAAATGGTAAATACTTCTCTCGGGTTCAGAGAGAATTTCGCAATGAATATTGCTCGGTTTGCGTGTTTAGTGTTTATGGGTGAATTTATGAATACCCAATAAATGAGGTTTGGTCAACTATTGATAGTGGGGGAACCTGTCCCTAATCTAGGGTTCCATGGACACATGTCACTAGGGGATTAGAGCCCTGTAGACCTCTAAGAGGCTACCACGTGTCAAAGGGCCATTGGGCCACGTGTCTAGGGTAGTTTTTTACCCTAAACATTTACCCCTCACAGGTGTCATGCTATGGGGAAGTGACGGTTGGTCTACTTCCCGCCTTTCTCTCTCTTCTTCATTTTTTTTTTTTTGAATTTGAACTAGAATTTTTGAGGTAGAAGGTGGCAGTTTGCCTTCTGGGTTTCTCTATAAATAGAGGCAACCCTCTCTCTCCTCCTCACTTTTACAAACTTGCAAAAATTTTCTTGAGAACTTTGATACCAGCTGTTTTTGCGTTCAACTAGCTACTTTGATTCAGACGCGTCCGGATACCGGTTGAGTAATTCTTTAATCATCTCACTAAGGTACCGTCTGACTTATTCATTTTCTTCTTTTTGATTTCAAGTAGAGCCACAACCGGTCTTACACCGTATGGGGCACCTTTAAGCAATTTCTTTCATAAATTGCATTCAATAGACCCACAGCCGCTAATATATCGCCTGGGGCATCTTCTAGCAATTTTCAAAAATTGCATTCAATAGACCCTCAGCCGGAAATATACCGCCTGGGGCATCTTCAAACAACTGTCTTCAAGAAATTGCATTCAATAGACCCTCAGCCGGAAATATACTGCCTGGGGCATTTCTGAGCAATCTTCATAATTTGCTTTCTATAAACCCACAGCCGGTCTTTATACCGCCTGTGGCATCTTCAAGCAGTTTCTTGATTTGCATTCATAAGACCCTCAGCCGGTCTTGTGCCGTCTGGGGTACTTTTGAGCAATCTTCTAAAAATGCATCCCATAGATACCGTCTAGGGTATCTTTGAGTAGTCTTCGAAAACAACATTCTATTGATACCGTCTGGGGTATCTTTGAACAATTTTCAAAAAAGGCCCTATAGATACCGTCTGGGGTATCTTCGAGCAGTCTTCATAAACAGCCTTATAATTTTCTAAACAACCACAACCGGACACTTCCGCCTGTCGCATCTTTGAGTGATTCTCTTCGAAAAACGCCCGACTGCTTGTTTTGTATTTCAGCATTCACAACATACACAACCGGACTCTACCGCCTGTGGCATCTTCAAGCCACATTTTGGAATAACGGTCGTCTTCTACAAACTTCTTTACTACTTCAAGGTACCGTCTCTGCCCTTCGCAACTCTTTGAGTTTTTCCCGGTTGTGTAGTTTGTATAGAATAAATGGGCTCTCCCATAACACACACGGCACAGCCTAAGACAGAGGTCAGCCGATCACCTGGGACGGCTGAGTCTAGGACTAGGGATGCCGTCTGGGGGTGTTTGGACCACCCTTACTCTACTTCGAATCCGACCGTCTCTGTTCATGTGCAGGACAGAATGGCTCGGACCAGATGGACGGCAATTGACCCTGACTACCAGTCCAATGATGCAGCCGTTGATCCGGCTGTCTCTGTTAATAATGACCAGGCCGAAGAACCGGCTGGGAATGTACCAAGTGAGGTAATGGGTGTGCCGAGTACACCCAGTGACGGTATCGTTGATGAATCTGACTCAAATGGCGAAGAGTCCGGCTCTAATGAGTCTTCATCCGAATCAGCCGACCCAATTGAGGAGGACGCCTATAAGTGGCCGGCTGTTAACAACCCCACTAAAGCAACTATGACCGCCAGGGATGTGGTCACCTTGAATGCTACTTTTCCTGCCTTCTTGGAAAAGAAACCGGTTGGGGTAGGCTGGGAGGTTAGGGTCCCGCCTGTAGATGCCACGGTTGTCTGGGGGAAAATGACTTGGAACATGCCAACGACTATTTCGGCTGCTATGAGGCGGTATTCAAAGCCGGCCTCCGATTCCCCCTCCATAGTTGTATAAAAGCCATTATAAGGGGGTACAAACTTAGGCGTCTGGCAGCTGACTCCCAATTCTTGGGTTAACATACTAGGATACATAGCCGCCTGTGAGATGCAGGAAATAAAGCCTAGCTGGGAGGCATTTGCACATATGCACTACCTCAGCCGGGCACCAGGCGGCTGGAATGCGTGGTATACTCTGACCACGCATCCGGAGTATATGATAACCTTGGATAAGCCGTCCAAGTAGAGTGGTTGGAAGAGCAAGTTCTACGTAGTCTCTTCACCGACTCCCCAATCAAATCGCTGGCTGCGTACCTACAATAAGAAACCGACTCTTCTTGGGAAGAAGTGCGCTCTTCCAAAGGTGCCAGAGGAGGCCTGGGACCAAATAATGGAGACGGGTCTCTTTAAGAAGACGACCCTCCCTCTAGATGATGGGAGTACTATAATAGTTCCCAAGTTCTGGGTACCTCTCCCGGATTGGTTCAAAGACGAGGCGTTCCTGTCTGCGTGGAACAAGTTGGTTCCCGGACTGGTCAGGGCCAGACCACAACTGGCTCAAATGCGGCTGGGGGGGGAGCTAACCCCTCAGCAAGATAAAGGTATGGCTTCCACCTTCGATCCCCCCTGGCCGCTTGGGCCTCTACGAGTCAAGTCCCAAGTCAGCCAATCCGGGGATTCCTCAGGCAGCCGTCAGAACGTAGGCGCCGCCTATGCCCATTACCTGACCCATGACTCTGTTATTACAGATTCTACCTCAAGGTGGCCCAACTTCCTGCAATTCGCGAAGAGGATGCTCCGGACCCTCACCCGATCTGAGAAGGAGGCGGTGCCGGGTATGCACCAGGTCAACCTTGACCGCATCAATTCTCTCCTGGCGGAGGTAATAAACCGGCTGTGTTTTTTGCTTGTAAACTCTTTCTTTTACCGGATATATCGTCTTGAATGGTACTAACTATTTTGCCGGCTGATGCTGTGGGTGGATGGTCTAGCCGTGCCCTTGCGTAAAAAGCAAGAGGAGGTAAGGGATGCCTAGAAACGGGCATCTGACCTTATTAATGTCTGTTAGTTCAACGCCATTAAATATGACATGGAAACTAATCACCGAGCGATGAAACAGGAGGAGCTTCTCAAGGAAGCTAAAGCGGTTGCTGAGACGGCAAAGAAGTAAGCGGCTGACCTCGAGCTCCAGGTCAACAACCTCAAAGCCAATCTTAAGGCATTGGGGGAAGCCGACAAAGAGAACACCGAGCTACGCTCAAAAGTCAGCCGGCTGAAAAATGAGCTTGCCCTGAGCCAGTCGGCTTACAAAGAACAGCTAGCAGCCGAACAACGATTTTCGGTTTCAAAAAATTGGTTTTTAATCGGTTTGGTTCTCATTCGGATCGGTTTGAACCAGTTCGGTTCGATTTTTGACAGTGCTACACATTCTCGATTAAATGTGCAACTACAGCTTTTTGAGGATTGAAAGTGAGCAACACATACAAATAAATGTGAGAATCAATTGTAGGAGCAGTTAACATTCACTGAGGCAGGACAACAGAAAGGAGGGCAGGGGGGAAATTAACAGCCATATGAAGCACAAGTTGTTTCATAAACATAAGCAAGAGCAACGGTAGCGTGAGAAAGAAGCTGAGGAAATGAAAAGCTGCAATATAAGAGAAAGTGAGAGAGATTGAGGTGAGAGGAGTGAGGAGAGAGAGGAGGAGAGAACCAATGGACAATAAGAGGGTAGAAATGTAATTGGACTTTTTGAGGGAAAAATGGTCATGACACTATTCATAAGCTTTTCTAATTGCCAAGTTGTGGCTTTTTTAAGGTTATATAGATAAGTAACCCATTTCAAATTTTCAATTCTCATTATCAGGAACAAGACATTCCACTAAAGACATCAAAACTAAAACTAACGCTGCATTGTTCAGTCATTGCATTTGCTCGACTTGTAATCACATTTTTGTCACCTAAAAGAGCTTGAAGACATCGACAAACTGTGAAAGTTTTTCCAGTTGCATCAATTGACCTGAGGTCCTGGAGCATGAAGCAACAAGAGTTAGGAGGATAGAGCATGTTTTCGTAGGTAAAGTAAGAGTAACAATCTTGCAAGTCAAATGTGGTTCCGATAATGCATTGCTGGTTCGTTGGGACACCATTTTGTTGCATTGGTGGTTCCGGTGGTATTAGTAGGTCTTGATTTTCTGTTGCTAAAGCAATGACTAAAACCATCAGAAAATGACATAGCATTAGAAAGTACTTCATATTGTAACAACAAAGTTTTTTAGGTTGTTTGACTTGTGAGGTGTGTAAGCAACATAATATACCAAGTTGGACGCCTAAAAAAGTTTTTGTTGTTTGGCTTTACGATATATGTGAATAAAGGTTGGTTGTTAGCTTCTTTAATCACGTAGAAATCATGTACCACAAATTTCTATAAAGCCTAGTTCTTCTAGGTCATCATATAGTTTGGATGTTATGCTACAAGTATGGAGTAATAATTTCCATAATTTTTGCACATGTTGCCTATTCGATAATTTAGTTCAGGCATCGGGGTAAGGAAGTTGGATGTCAGATCCATGAAAGGGTCACACATATTACCCAAAGTAAGAAAGTTGGATGCTATTTTCACATTTAAAAAATTACTGCTTTCATCATTTCTCCACAAAACCTTTACAACTTGATTACAATATGTATAATGAATGTAAGTCTTGTTGTACACAAATCCCCTTGATGGGTTCAAAGAGTTCTTGAACAGGACAGCATCCACACCTGATCACCTCATTAGTGCTGCAGCAGCAAATTGAGCAGCCTTTATATCGGTGCCTGCTGATTCCTTTCTTTCCCTCCGTCTGAGAACACGCAGTTTCGGGGATTTTGGTTTCGTTGGATCCTTAAAAGATCTGCATATAACCACCACCGTATAAGAAATTTATAATAGTGTCAATGGATAAAGTAACATCAACTAATAAATATTTATAAAATTTTATTAACAGTTAAGCTCCTACTTTTGTGGTACGAATGGGTTAGCAAACTTGGGCAAAGGTCTGGCATGGGGCACCAAGGTCCTCCTTAGGTGCTTCAGGGCCTTCTCCTCCTCCATCTAACGGATACAAAATGTCAGTGTATGGCAATAACTACAAAATTGCATGTAACTTGGTTTGACAAACGGAAGTACATGCACCTGTTTTTCAGCTTCGGCCTCTTCTCTGTATCTTTTATACATCATTTCTTTCTCCTTGATTTTCTTATCAAATTCTGCTCTATCAACAGCTCGATGTTGTACATGGTGGTTAAACTCCTGAACCTCAGTGAGAGGCATACGTTCTTTCTCTGGAAGAGGAATAGGATCCCTGAAAATGCAAAGAAAAAGGAGGCAATGAATCAATTTAAGCAGGGGTAAGGACTCTTTGAACGTAATCTATTCAGCTGATGTTTATACTTACTCGCTCAGGACTGGTTGAGCCTTGAAGATCCTCATTTGAGCCTCTTCTCTTTCCTTTCTAAGCCTTTCCTCCATTTCTCTCCCCATTTCCTTCTCGTGCCTAATTAGGCTCTCGAGTTGGAAAGGTTCAGGTTGAGTACATTCTTTAGGACCGGGTTTAGGAGGAACCTGCAACATCAGCATAAAAAACATTAGAGGAGAAAAAGGCAGGGTAAAGAAAAAATATCATTAGAGGATTAAATTGTATACCACAGGGAAATCAGTGGTGTAAGGATACGGGGTAGCCTTCGGAACTCTGGCTTTTTCCTCCTCTATCTGTTTTTGCACAAGTTCGGTAATCAACCTTCGTTCTTTCTCAGCCCCCCTTTCCTGGTTTTATGCAAAAAATTCTCTAAGTTATCCAGTGCAATTTGAAATATAATTCCACATTATGGGAAAAACAAATATACCTCAGTGTAAAGATGGAATGGATTAGGCTTTGTATTTCTTGGAAGATGTTTCTCATGGTTTGACGACTCTGAACATAAAGACAGCTGAAAGGAGACATGAAATTGTAAGGAAAAGGTAATTTCCAACAAGCAATTAAAATACAGCAAAAAAACTGTTAAACTGTACCTTGTCAAATAGATCGACAACACTAGAAGAAGGTGGCGGAATTCTCTCATCAATTGCAAAATGAAATTCTTGGGGTTTTGTAACTTGCTTTTTGCTGTTGCAGAACAACCCCAATTCCCCCTTACTTTCAAATATCTACATCACAAGTTCAATTTATTAGAACTCATAGATCATACTAATTTAGAACTCATACAAATCATGCTTTGTAAAAGTAAAATGTAAGCTACCTTTTTACTCAAAGGCCGAGCCTTGAATTTTGGGATTTTCTCTAGCTCTTCTTGCTCAATCTCAAGTGTACTTTTTATCTTTGTTGGGCGTGCTCGCAAGGATGTTTGCAGCACTGGTGTTTTTGGTTCAGTTAGATGATTAGATTTCCACTGATTTTTCTGGCAATGCAAATATGGATGACTCGTGTTAGCTTAAGCATTTTCAGACCATTCATCTAACAGTATAAACTGAATAGTTTTCGCAGACTACTAAACGAATTCTATACCTGATGACCAGATTCAGTCGAGACCACGGAGGATACTTCTGCATTCTTGTTGGCCCTTTCCAAAGTCTCCAAGTGGAATTCCTAAATAGAATGCATAGTCAGAAATAAGCTCTCAATGAAACTTGACAAAATTGACAGTTAATACATGGAAAAATATCCACCTGAAATTCTGGTTTTCGAGGAAGGCTCTTGGGTAGTGGAGGTAAAGTTGGGGCCTCAAGAATCTAACAAAATAAAGGATGTCATCTCATTACAATGCAGAAAAGAAGTAAGATATTTACTATGAAAATAAATTATTAACAGACTTACCTTTTTGTTCAGCGGCCGAGCTTTGAATTTTGGCATCTTAGTCATCATTTCTTCCTCAAGCTCTGCAGAGCTCTTCACCTTTATTAAACGAACCCTTTGTGCAGATACAAAATCAGGTTCTTTAGGCCTTGTCAATTGCAGTTTAGGCTTCCCCTGCACGTTCATCATACTGAAATTTAGAATCAAGATGATAAATAAAAAATAAAAATAAAAAAAAAAAACCATTATAATAATAATTAATGAAACAAAAAAATATATGGAAAACTATCTTGTGAGCTGTGACAGTACATTTTGAGGCAGTGAAGAATCTCTAGTGCTTGACTGAAACTTCTTCATCAGTTCTGCAGTAGAAACGAATGGCACCGGCGGCAGTGGAGGATCCCTAACATACATCTTTATGTGGAATGAGAGTATACAAGTTAGTACTAGGATTGGAAACAAGATAATCCAATATGTACATAGGATTATTGTAAAAAAATCTTACTTTTCTGTCTTCTTTGGAGGGTTTAGCTGTTTTAGAGCACAAATTGGAAGAACTAGTGGTGGCACCTGGTCTTGTTTTGTGGAGCAGATTAGGAGGCTTAATGTTTAGGATCTGTTTTGGTAATTAAAAAAGGATCAATCAAAGTTATGCTTATAAATACATTTCAATCAAAGTTATGCTTGTAAAAAGAAAATAAGTAAAAAAAATAACTATGAAAGTTCTTCCCAATAATGAAACACTGACCTGCCTAGTTTTTCCATCATCCAGTTTCTGCCTCTTGATGGCTTGGTTTTCCTGGACAAAATTAGGAGTTCCAACAGAGCTGTTTAAGTTGCTTCTATCTCTGTTGATTAATTATGGGTTAGCACCAAAATTTGAGCATCAAACCAATAAATCAAAGTATATCGTGACTCGAATTGAATGTTCTACCTCCTAAAACCGGCAGGTTTAGCACTTCTTGTGTGTGACTGAATTTTCGATTTCAATTCTGATGGATTCTTTAGTGCACTTGCAATCTTCATGGCCGTCTGCTTCTTCTTTTGCTCGGTCGTTGTTCGGCCTCCTTTACTAGTAAAGGCAGGCGGTTTTGGGGTGCATACATCTGTCATATTCAGAAAAGTTATAAGCAAATACCACCACAACAAAACCTTAGTACCAAGATGATTTTGGTCCGCTAACATGAATAAGGAACCCGTCCGCAGAGAAAAGTTATAAGCAAAATATATATAAAAGTAAATGCCAGATCCATGAGCTTGCACTAGAAAACCAACCTTGAGAAGGGCAGGTTGCAGATTCCACCTTAATTTCTGATTCAATTTTCACATCTGGAGCAACTGCTTTCACAGTACTGAAAGTAACAGACTTGTTAAATCAGACAATGTCCGAAGAAATTGGAGAAATCAACAGAAAAAATCAAACAAACAGAAACACACCTCCTATATTCTTTGCAATTTTTCTCACAAGATACTTCAGCAGGTATACTTATTTGTTGGCTACTGATCAAGCTCGGGTCCGAGTTTTCGTCCCTTTCACCAGGCATCCCTATATGTTGGCTGATCATACAACATTACATGTTAATAAATAAACAAATTTGGTGTTTTCAATGGCTGCTGATAATGTAAATCACATCAAATACTCACCCAGATGAAATTTGATCTAGCTTTGATGACAACTCTTCTGACAAAACTGATGATGCAGTTGTAGGCTTAAGTGATTCAGAGGCCTGTATTATACAAGAAACCCAACTCAACACAATTCTAAAGTTCTATCAACTGTTAATGAAAAAATTGAAAATCATTGTGTCGAAATCGAAAATTAGAAACTGAGATAAACCTGCGCTGTCGTTTGGGCATCACCAAAATCGCACAGGCTGCTAAGTTGAACTGATCTAGAAGCCTTAATTCTCAGCATGAAAGCTGCAATTTATTGGAATAAAGAATCATCAAACTCTAACTTTGCATACCCCTAATTCATCAAATTGCAACAATCGCAAAGAAAAGCCACAGACATTATCCACAATTACAAGTTTACAATCCAATTATACCAAATTACCGAAATATATCTTCCCTAATTGAACAATTCGATCTAAAAAATTTGTTCCCTATTATTAATACACCTTCCTCAATTGAAGAAATTATACTCAATAATAACAATTAATGAAATATCTTCCCTAAAATGAACAAATCATAGTAATTTCCAAAACCATAAAACAATCTTTCAAAACCCTAAATCTAAGATCATGAACAAATCAAGAAAAACAAAGAATTGAAAGTTGAAAAACATACGTGAAGGAGCATGACTAAGAGCAGACTGAAACCAAAGTTCAGCGTTTCGAGTATCCTCCTCTGATTCGCCATTGATGAAGTCATAAAACCTTGGAGCAGAGAATTCGTAAGTTTCGTCGATCATAATTGAAGTTGAATCTTCCATTTTCGTCGCTTTGTTGGGGAGGGGGAAGAGAGAGGGTGATGCGGTGGTTTGTGTGTGTAAGAGAAGAAATGAGGAATTTTGAGGGAAAAGAGGGTATTTGGGTTGGATGGGGTTTAACGGTAAAATTTTACAACGGTCGGATTTGGAGAGGGAGGGGAGGGGGGAGGTTATGAGTTTGTGTATTCCCACTTTGCCGGATTTGTAACGGCTAGTTTGGAAAGAGGAGCGCTACATTACTACGTCGTTTTATATGTTCATCAAAAGTAATACTTGTACAGTTGTACGAAGTATGGTATGATACAAGCATCCAACCACGATGGGTTGGAAAAAAATAAAAATAATAAAAAACAACCCAGATGGATCAAAATAGAAATTACGGGTCGTAGCTTGGCCTGGCTTGCAAACTTTTTTGGCCTCGACTCAGCCGGTTCAATGATCACCTCTAGTCAGGGGTAATTATCTATCTGGGGTTGCTCAGTCGGTTAGGAGTTATTTGGTTGATCATGTGCTACTCGGTCAGTGTTATTGTGTGTATCATCTTGCCACACGGTTTGCCTGGCCACACCGAAAAACGCTGCTACTAAAATATTTCTTCGATATTGTTTTTGCATTTTTTTTAAAGTGTAATTAGTTTCTCTTTGAAAAATTCCAAGTTTCTGAGAAACAAGTTATGTTTCTTAATGGTAAAGGCCTAAATAAATGCATTTGTTTTAATGTTTATTGGCGAAACGTTATTTGAAGTAAACCGCTACTTTAATATAACTAGGGATCTCAGTGGGACGGGTCAAGTACCCACCTCATCCCCGTCCCAATATGGGTCTTGGTTTGGCAGGTGGTGGGGCGGGGATGGGGATAAAAACCATACCCGCCATGGGTGATGGGGAGGGGGTAGATTTTACCCCCGCCCCATTTTATACCCGCCCCATCCCCACCTCATACCCATATCGCTATATTTTTAAAAACAAAATTATATACTTTTATACTATTTTATAAAAAAAATTATGTATAATAAACTTATAGATATAATACTTTGTAATACGCTAATATTATAAACAAATAAGTATGTAATATTAACCTTTTTTTTTTTGTAACCTATATTAATTATGTGGTATTGTGTATTGAAACGCGGGGATTACGCGGGTCTTGGGTGGAAATTAAGCGGGGGTGGATATTCAAGTGAGGGGTGGGACGGGAATGGTTTTTAAATTGTACCCGTCTGGGCGAGGATGGGGATGGATTTTGGACCCGCCGTGGGGATGGGGATGAGGATGAAAATATTAGGTGGGGATGGGTAGGCCAACATCTGCCCCCCCTCCCCCCCCCCCCCTTAATTGACATCCCCAATTGTATAATCACTACTTATTTGCCTATAATTTTACAAATTTAACCTTTTGAGAATCAAATTTTATTTCTCATTCTAAAAAACTGGAGCAGTCTTGTTTCTCTAGATCTCTTCTCTCATTTAAAGAAATTGGGACGACATCGTTTCTCTAGATCCCTTCTCAATATTTACTGGAGTTAATTATTTTCACTGAAATTAAACTATTTTCTCTAAAACTTAATTAATTGTTACTTAACTTGTGCTATTTTTTCATGATTAAAACATACATTTTTATGGTCAGCTATTTGTTCCTTAAAATTGCTGAATTATACTGATTATAACTAATTTATTATTGAATTGAACTTATTTTTGCTTAAATTAATTCATCTTTACTTAAATTAACTAATCTTTGCCAAAATTAAATTTTTTTAATGAACTAAGTTATTTATATTGAATTAACATATTTTCATTGAATACCCCTTCGTGTTGATTTAAGTGTCCTAATTTAACTTTTGTACTATTCACGTACACCACTTTGACCAATGTTTATGCTACATTCATAAGATCAAACTTGTACTCAATGTATGGTTGTCCAATATCACTCTTTATAATTGATATTTATTGTTAATTAAAGATACTATTGGTCAAAGTTTAGCAAATGTGTTTGTTGAATTGGGTCATTTTAAAAAAAAACATAAGGTGTATTTCGTCTGTCTTTTATTAGTTGTATTACGTACTCGTGTTGGAATTTAGAATTCTGAAAAATTGTTTGTAAGTGTCGTTTGACTATCTTTTATTAAACAAGACCCGCTTTTATCACCTTGATGGCATTTTAGCTAATAAGTTGCATTGAAATTTGTATTTTATTATTAATAATAAAATATATTTTTTGTTTGTGGGCCATTTTGACAATGTTAACAAAATTTTTAGAGTTAACAGTGTTAACTCCTATTCATCATCTTCTTCGCCCACCTTCTTCTCGTTCATCTTCTTCTCCCCCCCCCCCTCCTCTTCTTCCTCTAATTCTCTTTTTCATCCTCCCACCTAACTTTATCTTCTTCCTCCATTCCACAGTCGGTTCGACTCAACAAGCACCACCATTTTCGATGGCAAATGAATTAAACGAAAACTCAAATAACAAAGGCAGAAATAAAGGTATGGTTAACCTTAAAGGGTAGGTGGAGTTTTTCTTCCTCCATTGATTTCGGCTTAGCACCACCATTTTCAAGGCGCCTAATTAAACAAAACCCGAATAACAAAGGGAGAAATAGAGGGTATGGTTAACCCTAAAGGTAGTAAGGTTTCGTTCCTCCATTGATTTCGTCTAGCTTGATGTCGTAGTGAAATGTATATTTTTTGCCATTGAAATTGAAGATTGAAGGAGGAGAAAGAAAACCAGGGAAAGGGCGAAAAACAACTAACGTCATCTAACAGTAGTTAGATATCAATTATAAAAATACCCCTTGATAAACATTAATTGTTTTGAAGGTTATAAACTTGTATTTTCTCTTTTTTTAATAGAATCCTTTTTCTTCCTAAAAAAAAAAGCATGTGTCGTTTACGAACTTTTTTAGTAGTTCTCTTGTTTTCTTTCTTTTTTTTTTTATTTTGTTTTTCTTTTTTTCCTTCCAACCAATTCTACAATATACACTATTCACATACCATTCTTCAATTACATTTTGTATTTTATACTTAAATTAAAACATAGTGATAGGCGTGTCGCGTACCTAACAAAAATAACCTAACTATTCCTCCTAACTATGTAGTCGGGCAAGTAAGGGTCGAATCCCAAGAGACTAAGGTTCACCTAAATTATCTAGACTCAAGTAATTATCAAGCAAGAATCAAATCAATGGTGGAATAAACTAAGAGCTAAAGTATAGAAAACTAGAATAAATCAAAAGAATATAATGAATCAATAAGCTAAAACATCCAAGATCAAGTATCACCACAATTACGATCGATGCAATTATATATCTACCCCTAACATACAATTCCAATTAACACGGGGAAAAGCAAACCCTAACAAATACCAAGGACCTCTCTCGAGTATCAATGGCTTCCCTAACCCACAATCAAGCCTATTCTCATGGTATCATGCAAATTAGAGACATTGCACACTTTACTTCAATTCCCAATTATCCGCTCAACTATTCTCATGTTGAATTTCAAATCCTAAATCAATTTACTCAATTCCGTTAAAATCCAACTCTCGTTGTGATAGAAACAATGGAATAATAACAATACTAATTATCTCTAATATAGCATTGGCATAATCACAATCAATTTAGCATAGACAATTACAATGGTTATTAGAGAATTAAAGAATTAATTCATGCATCAATCATAATTGGGCTACCCTATATCTTGGAATAAGAAATCTACTCACACATATTGAAGAAAGTAATAACAATCATAATTATAGAAAACATGATTGAAAAGCATAAAAATTGAAAGAGAAAGGAATAGAGATGAATACCAATGATGCTTCAATTGAATAATTACTCAAATTGTTAATCAACAATACCCAAATCTAACCTAAGAGTTAAATTGCTAAAAAAAAGTATGAAAACTAGGGTTCTAGAGAGAGAAATAAAACTTAAGGAGATAATAATCTGTCAACTAATGATAATTACAATGGGTATTTATACCCTTAATGAAATAAAAACTCGAAAATAATAAAAACCGGAATCGCAATACACTGCCCGGTCAGACCGGGCAATAATACCCCGATCGGGTAGGTGGGATTAAATAAGCAGTTGTTTCTTCCTTGCATTCTTCCTCAGCGCCCGATCCAACCGGGCATATGGCGCTCGATCGGGCGCGGGGCACAACCTTTGCTGGCTTGCAATCCTGATCTTCGTAGTACAACCAACCCCCACGCGCCCGGTCCAACCGGGCGAGGCCTGCCCGATCGGGCGCGTGGCATCATACCATAAAATCGCTTCTTTACTTCCTGAATAACTTCAACACGAATTCCTAATGTGCCCGGTCTGACCGGACATGCTTATCCCGATCGGGCACAGTACAAATTATGCTCATTGCTTGCAAATTCTTTTAAGACTGGTTCTTGTTTAGCTGGGTTTTACATCCTTGTCTACCAACATCTCCAAAATGCTCAAAACATGTCCGAATCATCCGAGAAACTTCAAGTTCCTGTAAAACTTATAAAAAAAATACACCGAACACACTAGAGAAGAGAATGTTAGCGGAATATGGCTCTAAAGAGCCTAAAACCATACAAGAATGTAATGAAAAGTCGGGATAAATCTATGTATAAAACGTGTATATCACATAGTCACACGAGATCTTGTTAGACTACTCGTCTCAATGTGTACTTCATTACATAACTGTTTCGGGGTTTTCTGATGTCCTGCGGGAGAGTTACAATTCCGAGACTGGAACCGGACGCCTGTACCTGCAAAATAACGGAGACTCCTGTGAGCTCCGCCTCCAACGGTCAAGTTAGTACCTGATTAAGGAGTAATTAATGCGGAAATTAAAGTAATAAGGTCTCTCTAGGTGAGAGTGTTTAATGTAGGTAATCTGCTTTGTTAGCGAGATCAGCCGGTTATTAGTGTGTTCCGTAATGTTTTTCGCGTGTTGTTTCTGTGTCCCCCCTTAATGAGGATTAAGGGAGGTATTTATAACCTTGGGAAACGTGCCCATCCTAGGTTTAGGTAAACCTAGGGCCGATTGGGCTTCCCTCGGAAGTTGGGCCTGGGTGGCCGGTTTCTCCATTAGGCATGGAGTATGCCACATGTCGTGACATAACAGGTCCAAGGTGGACGAATAAGCGTGTGCCACGTGGCAAGCCCTGACAGTTCCAACTAGGGGACACTTGGCAGATCCTGATTGGCCCACGTGGCGCATTCCGATTGGTAAGAGCAAAATCCCCTAATCATTTGCCCCTCACAGGTGGCACGTGATTGGTCACGTGTTACCTGTGACAGGTGTCGCACTGTAACGGGCGACGGCCTGCTACAGGTGTCAGTCGGCGAAAGGACGAGAGATTTTCCCGCCCAAATTTTGAATTCTGGAAGTGACCCTTCGCCTTCTCACTTCGCCTATATAAGGGAGAGCTGCCTTGAGTCATTTTCACACTTTGAGAACATT